TACTTCGAGGGTGATGGATGAATTTAATACCTGAGGTAAGTGTACGGGTTTTTATACGCGCAATCTTATAACTTTTCGATCGCACCTCGTATCCCGGAAATAGCTGCTACTCTATGTACCTTAGGGACAAGGTCTGTCTCGGGTATTTGGAAGTACGTACCCCATAAAGTGGTGAATAGATGGAATAATAATAATAAAAAACTTAAAGAAAGTCTCAATAATGTTTCAAAATATATTAAAGGGCGTAGATACACGGATATACAGACATGTCATCAGCTTATATCATAGAATGAAATGGGGTAAGAAGCCTGCACATTTTCGTGCCTTGTTCATCTCAGCGTGCAGGCTTACCATTAAGAGTCCGCCATCAAATTTCTACCGGAACCATTCACGTGACGAAACCAACGCCAGAGTATGATCCAAAGACATAAAACAGAGAGCGACGTCTTTTAACGGCGGGATTAAGGGTCTGTGCACTGGTGATGCCATATTTTACGACCAGACTGATTCGCGTACTAAGAGCTGGAGTTTCGGTACATCCAATGGATCGAGAGGTTTGGGACCCCGCAAGGTCGAAACACAGAATAATCAAGCCCGAAATTACCATCTTCTGTGTTATTTTACTTCTTACAAGCAGAACGGTGCAGATCGATCTTAGGTAAACAGTATTTTGAGAGACCTGAGGTTCTCACGGTGGTAAAGATGTCAATGTTGATCTTCTGGGTTGTAACGCGATGTCGTGAGTAGATAAGAACGTTTCAGATAAAAATTCTGTTTCCATCTTCAGGACTACTCCAGCCCTGAAGATGAAGGCAATGTATTCCATCGAAACGTTGTCATCTATTTAAGACACGGTGCTACTACTCAGAGGACCAAAATAAAAAAATATTTTACGTGACAAACATTTTAAAATATATTGGGGGGGAAAAGAAATTATGCATTATAAATTCAATTTTTGGTATGAATGAAACGTCGAATTTCCTTACGGTGTGTGTCACTATGGGGCCTATACATCGGAATCTACGATATTTAAAAACCGAACTTCAATAAGGAGCACAAGATTCCAAAAGATTTTGTAACTGTGACTCTACCAAATTATAGGAGGATTGAAGATTTCTGTCTTCTGGATTGTTGCGCTGTGTAGTCTGGTCGATGTTAACCAACGTTTCAGAGGTCATACTGCCTCCGTCATCAGAAATCTTCATACTCACCGCTGTGAGAACCTCAAGTCTTACATATATAGGAGGATTATCGAAGTGTTTTTGA